TACATTCTGAAAATGAGTCATTAATACTCAAAATGAATATTTTAAAGTTCTTTTTTGTTACAGTTAAACTATAATTAGGCACAGTTGTAAACTGGAGTTGAAATTTAATAAGATATTTCCTTATAGAGAACATTTAATGTTTTTCGAGATAGAATTACGAAACAATAAATATACAGATATAGGAATAAAATTGTGTCTGATAATCATATTAAGCGTTTGTTGTTATATTCTCTCTTGGAATAGCTGCCAAATATTTTAGTATGCTTAAAATCAATGAGTATTATGGAGTCAACAAATTTAGATCACATAATCATGTTCTGGAAAGCATATTATAGAAAAATAACTATTAAAATGTGCATATAGTAGTCTTCCTTTATCTGCAGGGGATACATTGTAAAACCCCCAGTAGGACACCTGAAATTGCAAATAGTAGCAAACCCTACATATACTATGTTTTTTCAAATGCTTATGTACCTATGAAAAAGTTTAATTTATAAACTAGGCACAGTAAGAGATTAACAACAACTAATAACAAAATAGAACAATTATAATAATATACTGTAATAAAAGTTATATGCGTATGGTATGGTCTAGCTCTCTCTTTCCTTTTCTCCCTCTCTCTCTCTTTCTCTCTCGCTCGCTTGCTCTCTCAAGATATCTTAGTATTTTGGAGCTGCAGTTGATGGCGGGTAACTGAAACCATGGGAAAAAAACAAAACCATGAATAAGGCCGGGTGCAGTGGCTGATGCCTGTAATCCCAGCACTTTGGGAGGCCGAGGCAGGTGGATCACCTTGAGGTCAGGAGTTTGAGACCAGCCTGGCCAACATGAAGAAACCCCATCTCTATTTAAAAAAAAAAAAAAAACACACGGATAAAAGGAGACTACTATATATACATTTTAAAACTGATGAAAGATTAAACTCTTCTTTCTTCCATACCCCACCCATTTCCTCCCACCCAAACCTAGATAGTTTTAAAGCAAATACATAGACATCTTATTTGATCTGTAAACATTTGATTAATTTGCAAAAATTAAGAACTCTTTTTAAAATAAAACTGCAACATATTATCACACCTAAGCAAATAAACAATACTTCTTAAATATCCAGTCAGTGTTCAAATTTCTCCAATTACCTCATATGTTTTCCATTGGCTTATACTGGGACCCCACTAAGAATGAAATAAAGTTCTTAGATTGCAATCGGCTAATGCTCTCTCACTTCTACTTCAATCTATAGGTTCCCACTAACTTCTTTTACCTTGCAATTTACTTGTTGAAATTATACATATTATTTGTCTTGTGTAGTTTTTCACAGTGCAAAATTTGCTGATTGTAGCCAGTGATGTGAGGAGTGAACATGTTTTTCAGCCCCTTTTATTTGCTGTAAGTTGTCAGTAATAGCTAAATGTGAATCAAATTCAAATTCAGATCACACAGGACCTTTTTTTTGAGACGGAGTCTTGCTCTGTTGCCAGGCTGGAGTACAGTGGTGTAATCTTGGCTCACTGCAATCTCTGCCTCCTGGGTTTAAGTGATTCCCCTGCATCGGCCACCGGAGTAGCTGGGACTACAGGTGTGCACCACCACACCTGGCTAATTTTTTGCGTTAGAGTAGACACAGGGTTTCACCATGTTGACCTGGATGGTCTCCATCTCCTGACCTCATGGAACACTTTAATAATTGAACAAATGAACGCTTAATAGCAGTTACACCATTAGGATGTCCTGATTCAACATCTAGGTTGTAAACCCTATTGTTGATATGGACTCTAGAATAGGATTGCACTGTTATCCCTAGGGTAACTTGTTCCGATTTGATGAAGTTATTGGGTCAATAAATAATAGCCCACTTAGACTAGGACGGTCTTGGTTTAAGATAGTCATGTGTATGTACTTCTGTCAGAGGGCACATAATACAGTAAATCCTCACTTCATCAGTAGTTTTTTGGAAACTAAGACTTAGAGCAAAACAGCATAACAAGACCAGCTTTATCATTGGCTAATTGATATAAGCAAGAATTAAGTTCCTATGGCAAATTTCTGGTCACAAAAACACCGTCAAACTCCTAAATAAAGACCAAATCACTTCTGATATTAAACATAGAAATAAATGTGAGCTGTATATACGTTTAAGAAGATTAAAACAAGTCAAACAACTTACCTAATTATTCCAGTAGAGCCCGCAGGTGGCTGGAGCCTATCCTAGCAGCTCAGGGAACAATATGGGAACCCACCCTGGAAAGGATGCTGTTCCATCATTCAGGGCTGTCTCACACACACCCACTCACCCAGGCTGGAACCATGTAGACACACACACACACCTAACCTGCACATCTGCGTACATCCTTCAAAGTTCAGCCAAATAGCATATAAACATATTCAATAATGTCCACCAGTCTTAGTTCTGCCTTAACAACTCCTTTTTGATTATCAAACAACAAACAGGCTAGGTCCATCTTATTTACTTGTCTGGTCCATATAAAAATTTTCTAACAAATTATATTAGAAAATCAAATCTCGGTCAGTTTCAGAATTCATGGAAAAAGAAAATTTGCCTTATTTCCTTCATACTTGGCTATCCTAACAGTAATCTAAATATTAATCAGAAAGTTAATGATGTCGTTTCCTTTTCCCAGTTCTAAAGAAGGTTTTGCTGCCCCATTTGATCACTAAGGCTAATTAACACTCAGAAAAAGCAAAGGGAATTCCTCAGCATCACATACGCTCTGTCATCTAGAGAAGCTAGGACTTGAGCTCAAGTCCTGTGACTTGAAAGGCCTTGTGCATAGCCACCTGGCAGCAGAGCCCCTATCCTTGAATGTACCAAGAAGTGAAACACTATGAAAACAATATCTGTACCCATATTTTAAAATGAGGCAGTTTGGGATGGTTTAAATTTTATTTAACTTATATATTGTTTGGATTTTTTTAGTTTATAAAGAGGGCATTGGCAAGGGCAGAATGATTGGTAAACTTCTCTGCCCGGCTACCATAAACATGATCTTTAGTTTGACCTTTTCTTACTGTCAGCCATTTCCTTATCCTTTTGTGTCCCTGTCAGTCACTTCCATGCGAAGACATGGGGAGGCTTTTTTACATTAGACATGTGGTTAAAAATAAGCCGCATTGGCTGAGGAATTATTTGATCTCTTCCTTTAAGTCCAATTAGGCTCAAAGTGCCTCTCTGCTACTTGAATTTTCAGTTAACTTTATCTTCTTATAATTACTTCACTGAAATAAATGCAAAGCAACAAAAGATATTTAGTGATGATACCAACAAAGCCATAACCATTTTAGCCTGAGTTTTGTAGTATTCTTTGCCTAGGAAGAGATACTAGAAAAATTCTGTGGCTGGGTGCAGCGGCTCACACCTGTAATTCCAGCACTTTGGGAGGCCAAGGTGAGTGAATCACCTGAGGTCAGAAGTTCGAGACCAGCCTTGCTAACATGGTGAAACTCTGTTTCTACTAAAAATACAAAAAATTAGCCGGGCATGCTGGCATGTGCCTATAATCTCAGCTACTCGGGACGCTGAAGCAGGAGAATTGCCGGAACCCGGAAGGCAAAGGTTGCAGTGACAGGGACCCGAGATCACGCCATTGCACTGCAGCTTGGACAACAAGCATGAAACTTTGTCTCTAAATAAATAAATAGGAAAATTTTCTGACTATGTATTTGATTCTTTTCCTCCAATATATATAGTCTCAGTCTTCAAATTTCAGAAAAGAATTTGTTTCTTCATTGTCATTTAAAAATAACGTATTAACCTCATGTTCTCACACATAAGTGGGTGTTGAACAATGAGAACTCACAAACACAGGGAGGGGAACATCACACACCAGGGCCTACCAGAGGGTGGAGGAATAGGGCAGGGATAGAAGGAGGTAGGAGTATTGGGGAGGGATAGCATTAGGAGAAATACCTAATGTAGATGACAGGGTGAAGTATGCAGCAAATCATCATGGCTCATGTATACCTATATAACAAACCTGCACTTTCTGCACATGTACCCGAGAACTTAAAGTATAATAAATAAATTTTTTAAAATGTGTTAAATATTATGCTTTTACATTATAAATGATCATAAAAGTCAAACATTTAGAAAAAAGTCAAAGTAACATATATAACCATCCAACAAAATAACTTTCATATTTTATTGTTTTCTTCCAAATGTTTTACCTTTGCATCTGAATTCTGCATAGGTTGTATCTACAATATAGACAACAATTTATAGCCTGCTAAATATTATACCATAAATAGGTTATTATTACATAATTCTTGGGTAATAGTAATACGTGTCTTTATCATAATCTACTGAGTAGCTGAACTTTTTTTTTTTTTTTTTTCGAGACAAGGTCTCTCTCTCTGTCACCCAGGCTGGAATGCAGTAGCATGAACATAGCTCACTGTAGCCTTGACTTCCTAGGCTCAAGTGATCTTCCTGCCTCAGCCTCCCACTGGGACTATAGATAGGCATGTGCCACCATACCCAGCTATTTATTTGTACTGTCAATAGAGATGAGGTTTCATTGTGTTGAGCAGGCTGGTCTTGAACTCCTGGACTCAGATGATCCACCTGCCTCAGCCACCCAAAGTGCTGGGATCACAGGCGTGAACCACCATACCCAACAATAATTTTTAAATTCTTCATTATTCATTGAACATTTAGTTAAAAATTTTAAAAAGTTTGTTTCCTGCCATCATTGAGCTTGTAAAAAATATCTTTGGACTATAGCTGTAGATTATTTCCTAAATAGTGAATTACTTGAGCAAAAATTTTATATGCTTTGAGTGTTGGTAGCCCATGTTGCCACAGTGTTTTCCCAAAGGTATTACAAAGCTTAGAATGCCAGTAAGTAATATTAAGGTATTCCATTTGCAACATCTGTGACCAACATCCCTCTACGTAAGATTTTTCCAAACCATGGTTCTGATTTTTAAAAGTGAAAAATACGACTTAATCATGTTCTTTTTGTGCTTCTCACTTTAAATATTAGAGTGAAGAAGGAGCCCCACAGGAAGGAATTCTGGAAGATATGCCTGTGGATCCTGACAATGAGGCTTATGAAATGCCTTCTGAGGTAGGAGTCCAAGCTGAATCTAACAGACAGTACCAAAACTCTGTCACTGTCACATTTCGCTTACATGAGTGCTTAGGCGAATCATTTGCTCTCTACGTGCTCATTATGTGGACAACTTGCAAGCTAAGCACGGTATTTACATTTAAAAAAAAAAAAGTGGAGGAGGAAGAAGATGAGGAAGAGAAGGAGAGGATGACAGAAATCATATATAGTCCACATAGCTTAAAATGTTTACTACTTAGCCCTTTACAGGAAAATTTTGCTAACCCCTGCATTAGAGGATTATATTTTTAGAAACTTTGTATTCTAAAATAAATTTCTAAATGGAATGTTAGAGAAATCAATGGAACACCAAAGGAAGGTAATTATTTTTTACCATACATTTCCAGTGGGATGATTGCATAGTAAAATAAAAGTTACCCACAGAAATTATAGAATAAAAAGCTAAATGTATGATTTGCAGCAATTGATATATTCCAGTGTAACATTTTTAACAACTTAATTTGATTTCAAATTTTATTTTGGTTGAAAATAAAAGTACCTTTAATAGAAAATGTATCAAAAGGGAAATTAGAAAATACTGTTAGACGAATCAAACTGACCCAAGAAGAAATAGTAAATCTGAATAGATCTGTAACACAGCGAAGAGATTAAATTAGTAATTTAAAAAAAAAAAAAAAAAAACAAAAAAAAAAAACCTACCTGCAAAGAAACTTCCAGGCTGAGATGGCACCACTGGTAAATTCTACCAAACATTTATAGAAGAATTAATACTAATTAATTAACACTACTTAGTATCTCTTACAAAACATAGAAGAGAAGGAGACATTTCCCAACTTATTCTATGCAATCAATATTACCCTAATAATCAAAACCAAATGAAGAGATTACAAAACAAGAAACTACATAATGGTTCCATTAAAAATTGAGTTCAAGTATGTTATAGTTAAGTTATGTATTATTCTTCATGGCATTATTAAAGGCATAACGAGGCTAGGTGCAGCGGCTCATACTTGTTATCTCAGCACTTTGTGAGCCAAAGTGTGCAGGTTACTTGAGGCCAGGAGTTCGAGACCAGTCTGGCCAATGTGGTGAAACCCCATCTCTACTAAAAATACAAAAATTTGCCAGGCATGTTGGTGCACTCCTGTAGTTCCAGCTACTTGTTAGGCTGAGGCATGAGAGTTGCTTGAACCCAGGAGGCAGGGGTTGCAGTGAACTGGGATGGCACCAGTGCACTCCAGCCTGGGCAATAGAGCATGACTCTGTCTCAAAAAAAAGGCATATTAATAATAATCTCATTTATAGAAATTGAGATTAAATTGTTTGTTTGCCTAATAAGAATTTCCAATATAGAGTAATTGACATTACCATAAGGAGTTTACAGTCTGGTAGGTTTGATGAAAAAAGTGGAAATTCGTTCATTCATTTCTTCACTATGATTCCTTTAAGAAACATTATTGATTATCTCCTGTGCACCAGGCATCACAGGAGCAAAAATATACAAGATATACTAGAAAATGTAAAATTTTAAAGGATCTGTTTCAATCAGTCAGGAGTTTTGTTGAGGAGGTAACGCTGATCTGGGTGGGAAAGGGTAAGAGTGATAGGTCAAAATGAACAGAGGACGTTCTGGCACAAGGGAATATCAGAAGCAAAGGCATATATGTCTGAGAATGCAAATGAATATGTCTGAAAACAGTGAATAATTATGATTCAAGCTTAAGAACAAAGAGAATGGTGATAGATTGAAGTTGCAGTTATGGGTCAAAGACATATTGTAGCGTATTAGGACAATCTTGTCATTTAAGTTTGTATTCTATTCAGAAATCAGCTTGAGTTATTGAAGGTATACTTATTTGTTTGTTTTTAAGCAGAATCCTGATATTTTTAAAGTTGCTCTTTAGGAGGAATAATCTGACCCCTTTAATGAAATTCATTAATATTTGTGTTGTGTATGTTAACCAGACATTGTATGGAGAGCTTCAGGTTTGAAATACAAGTAATAATTGAAGCCATAGATGAAGATGAAATTTTCAACTGGGAGAGTGAAAGTGAGGAAAACATACCTTGCCTTCAAATGTCTTAATTTCCTTCTAAGAATGAGAGGATCTTAGCCCTGGAAAAGGCTTTACAGACTGCTTGATTTTGTTCTCACATTTTACAGTTGAAGAAACTGAGAACCAGATAGTCCAACTTATTTGTCCTACCAAACTAGGTATATGATCATTAAATGGCACATCTGGATTCAAAGCTAGATATTTGAACTCTGACTACTACCATAATTCATTTCTATATGTAACAGGAAAGATAAAGCTATTAAAAATAAAATAGTGTTTGTTGCAGAATATTTGCAAAAACATTGAGTGTAAATTTTACTGTAAGTGGTGAGCCATGGCCTATCACATTTGCTGTCAGTGCTGATGCCTGATTGAAACTTATAGTAACAGTGCGTGCTGTCTTTTTTATTTTTCTAATATTAGGAAGGGTATCAAGACTATGAACCCGAAGCCTAAGAAATATCTTTGCTCCCAGTGTCTTGAGATCTGCTGACAGATGTTCCATCCTGTACAAGTGCTCAGTTCCAACGTGCCCAGTCATGACATTTCTCAAAGTTTTTACAGTGTATTTTGAAGTCTTCCATCAGCAGTGATTGAAGTATCTGTACCTGCCCGCACTCAGCATTTCGGTGCTTCCCTCTCACTGAAGTGGATACATGGTAGCAGGGTCTTTGTGTGCTGTGGATTTTGTGGCTTCAATCTATGATGTTCAAACAAATTAAAACACCTAAGTGACTACCACTTATTCCTAAATCCTATTTTTTTGTTGCTGTTGTTCAGAAGTTGTTAGTGATTTGCTGTCATATATTATAAGATTTTTAGATGTCTTTTAATGATTCTGTCTAAGAATAATGATGTAGTGTGAAATTTGTTAATATATATAATACTTAAAAATATGTGAGCATGAAACTATGCACCTATAAATACTATGAAATTTTACCATTTTGTGATGTGTTTTATTAACGTGTTTGTATATAAATCATGAGAAGTAGAATGTTATCGCATTATAAAAATATTTTATTTTTATCCAATCTCACTTTAGTAATAAAAATCATGCTTATAAGCAACATGAATTGAGAACTGACACAATGGACTTAAATATAAAGTTCTTAATAGCCATTTGAAGAAGGAGGAATTTTAGAGGAGGTAGAGAAAATGGAACATTAACTCTTCACTGGGAATTCCCTGAAGCAAAACTGCTGGAAGTGTTTTTTGGTGTGCACTGGTGTTTTAAGTGTGTGGGATTAAAAAAAAAAAAAAAAAAAAGGCAGATTTCAGGAAACTAAGCAGTGCAAAAGGTGATTTTTGACTACATCCTCCTGAAAGATCCATAAGACACAGTAGCACATATTAGTACATTCAAGGCTCTGAGAGAATGTAGTTAACTTTGTTTAACTCGGAATTCCCCACTTTTTGTTTTTTTAATCATCAGAAATTCTGTCTGTCTTTTTCTCTCTCTTTTTTTTACAGGAAATGCCTTTAAACGTCTTTGGGAATTACCAGAGTCACCTTAAAGAAGATCAGCTCTCTAGATTGATAAAAATCTCATTGGCTCCTTTAAATGTTGCCAAATATGTGAATTCTAGGATTTTTCCTTGGGAAAGGTTTTTTTCCCTTTCAGGGAGGATCTATTAACTCCCCAGGGGTGCTGAAAATAAACTTGATTGTAAAAAACTCTATATAAATTAATTTTAAAATTATTTAGTTTCTCTTTTTAATTATTCCAGAGACAACAGGCATAGTCATTTTAAAAAGTCACTAGTAGAAAGTATAGTTTCAAGACAGAATATTCTAGACATGCTAGCAATTTATATGTATTCATGAGTAATGTGATATATATTGGGCATTGGCGAGAAAGGAAGAAGGAATGAGTGACTATAAGGATGGTTACCATAGAAACTTCCTTTTTTACCTAACTGAAAAGAGACTACTATGGAGTGCTAAGCTGCATGTGTCATCTTACACTAGAGAGAAATGGTAAGTTTCTTGTTTTATTAAGTTATATTTAAGCAAAGAAAGGATTTGTTATTGAATTGTATATTTCAGGAAGGCTAGAAAAATGGTGGTTAGGATATATTTTAAATCTACCTAAAGCAGCATATTTAAAAAAATAAAAAGTATTGGAATTTAAATAAGAAATAGAGGACAGAACTAGGCTGATAGCAGTGACCTAATTTGAAATTAGTAAAGTTATGACCATGAATTTAAGGACTTATATGGATACAAATTCTCCTTTAAAGTGTTTCTTCCCTTAACATTTATCAGGCAGTTACTTATGAGCAGTGAATTATTTTACATATCTTAATAGTTTATTTGGGACCAAGCACTTAAACAAAAAGTTCTGTAAGTCATATAAGCCTTTTCAGGAAGCTTGTCTCATATTCACTCCTGAGACATTCGCCTGCCAAGTGGCCTGAGGATCAATCCAGTCCTAGGTTTATTTTGCAGACAAACATTTTCTCAAGTCTGAGTTATTCAGCCTCAAATGACTCCACAGTGGGCTTTACCAAAACAGTTCAGAGTGCGCTTTGGCACACAGTTGGGAGCAGAACAATCTAACATGTGGTTTGGCATTCCAAGTTGCGTCTTTTTCAGAATCTCTCCACTAGTGTGAGATGCAAATATGTTTCCTCATCTTTCTGACTCATCCAGTATGTAGCTATTTGTGACACAATAAATATATACATATATGAAAATATATATTTGGTTTCTGCCTCCAGTTCTTACAAAGAACTCCTAAAACCCTTATAATTCCCTGAGTGGTAGGGGTGCTAGGGTCATCTTTTCTAACATTTGGTCTTTGACCCTGCCCTGACACAGAGCTCCTCAGTCCCTGGGTGAGAATAGCATCTCTTCTTCTAATGAGGTGACTCTTGCTAGGTTCCTGGATGGGGAGTGGTCACCAGAAAGATCAAGCCATGATTAGAAGCTTGAAACTTTTAGCCCCTCTGGGACAGGAGAGAAGAGGAGCTGGAGATCAGTACGCAGTCATGCTTCCAGGATGAAGACTCCATACAAATCCCTAAAAGATAGGATTCAGAGTGCTTTGAAATAGGTGAACACACGCAGAGGTGCTAGGAAGGGTGGTGTGTTCAGAGAGGGCATGGAAGCCCCCCACGCCTTCCCCCTACCTTCCCTGTGCATCTCTTCCATCTGGCTGTTCCTGAGTGGTATCCTTTTACAACAAACTGGTAATCTAGTAAGCAAACTGTTTTCCTGAAGCCTGTGAGTCACACTAGCAAATTATCAAACCTGAGGAGAGGGCCACAGAGATCTTGGATTTGTAGCCAATTCAAACAGAAGCTGTGGATAACATGAGGACTCATCATCTGTGATTGTCATCTTAAGTGGGGAGGGAAAAATCTTGTAAAACCGAGCCCTTCACCTGTGGGTCAGTGCTTACTCCAGGTACATAGTGTCCGATATGAATTGCAGGACACCCAGTTGGTAGCTGTCACAAAGAACGTGAGAGCTGCTTGACGTAGAAAACACACCCCCACACACACGTGTGGTGTCAGAAACGAAGTGTTCTGGAAATATTGAGTGTGGTGAGTGTATAGAAAGAAAAACAGCTTTTCCTTTTCACTACTGGATTAAACACAAACACACTCATGCACCTCACACATCTCAAAGACAACCATTAACTCTCAAAGATAGTGCTGTCTAAATCTATACTGAGGGAGAAAACACATTTTCTTTTCAAGTCTGTAAACCTGACAGACTGCCTCTATGCCCACACTAATGGAACTCTGTGTATTATCTGGAATGCGTTCATCCCACTTTGTTCTTTCTGTCTTGGGTAAGGCAAGTGTGCAACAAGGCTGGCATTTTCACGTGAGCTCTGTCCCTGTTCTTGGCTATACTTCAGACAAATTATTATGTGTCAAATATAGGCGTAAGTGATTGATCAATATTAAGTCATTTAATTCTCAAAACAACCTTAAAAGCTTCCATTATGATTCTAATTTTATACGTGAGCCCATGGAGGCACCCACAGGCTAAATCACTTTCCCACGGCCACACAGCTAGTAAGTGGCGCAGCCGGCAGGCCCAGCACTGCAGCGGCACAGTCTGTGCTCTCAGCCCCTTGGCCACACAGTCTCCGAGTGAGGACACACAGCTATTTAAGAGAACTTCCGGAAGTCTAGGAAATGGGGTGATAGCCCTACTTTTCTAGGTAGAATTATTAGATATTTGTTTTTCTTCAGGCACCTTTGAGCCTTAAGTAAGTTTTGCTAGTATATTTTCCTTCAGGTGCCTGAAGAAAAAGATATATATTGGCAGGCCTCCAAGTACAAGCCCGGACGCAGAAAGCCTGAAGTCCTGCCTGCCTCAGCTGATGACCCCCACTGCCCCGTGCGTTCCTGTTATCCCTGATCGCCCAGTGGAGCTTCCAGGGGACATTAAGCTTCTAAACCCACCCTGCCATCTTAACCGTTCTTATGATAATGTGAATATTCCTCACCCCACCCTACCATCTTACCTACTCTTACCCTACCTGCTATTGTAACTGAACTTATGGTAACGTATGCCCCTTGCCCCAACCCCCACCACTGTAACTGATCTTACTCTGTAACTCCACTGCCTACCCCAAACCTATAAAACCAACTCCTATCCCAATGTCCTTCTCTAATGCCCTTTTCGGCCTTAGCCCACCTGCACCCAGGTGAATAAGCAGCCATGTTCTGTTACTCACACAAAGTCTGTTTAGGGGGTCTCTTCTTTCAAAGCACGCATTTTTAACATCTCTCATCTCTCTCTCTATATAGATATATATCTCTCTATATAGATCTATCTACATATGTATCTATATCTATACACACACACACACACACACACACATATATATAGAGAGAGAGAGAGAGGGAGAGAGAGAAATTTCTTTTTTTCTTTTTTTTTTTTTTTGAGATGGAGTCTTGCTTTTGTCACCCAGGCTGGATTCCAATAACTCAATCTTGGCTCACTGCAAACTCCACCTCCTGGGTTCAAGCGATTCTCCTGCCTCAGCCTCTCGAGTAGCTGGGATTACAGGCACCTGCCATTATGCCCGGCTAATTTTTGTATTTTTTGTAGAGAAGGGGTTTCACCATGTTGGCCAGGCTAGTCTTGAACTCCTGACCTCACATGATTCACCCACCTCAGCCTCCCAAAATGCTGAGATTACAGGCATGAGCCACCAAGCCCAGCTGAGATTTCTAAGAGAAATTCGCACCTGACAGATATCTCCTTGTAACTAAACCAAGCATATGCTGATTATAGAACTAAGTTATTTATTTTCAGTGGAAGATACAAATGTTCCTCTCATAATAGCAGCAGTCTACAGTAAAACGGGCCTTGTCATTTTCCATGTTGAATCACGGCATTGGTACTTGGCTTATGTCAAACAGCCAAAACATATAAATTAAGGTATAACTAAGATTGTCAATTATACATATTTAGTAATAGAATGACTGAATTTATAAATAAACAGTAAAGGGCATGAATTAAGAATCTGTATGTATAAATAATACTGGCAACTTAATATTTTATAATGAGCTTTTATTTTCTAGGCATAGTTTTTGATGCAGTAATGTTAATTTTATCCTTTGAGTAAGCCTCTAACTGAAGAACTCAAAATGCAATAGAATAGATATAACAGTAAACTATTCCTAAATGTGTAATTAATTAGTAAACTATTCCTAAAAGTGATTTTAGTTCCAAGGTTCTTGTATAATTACCTAAGGTTTTCTTTAATGTTTTTGCTGCTACTACAGTATCCTTAATTATTTGAAATCTTATATTGGAAGCAGTTCAAACACATTCCTCCAAAGAGCCCTTAGTTTGAGCCTCTAATAAGTTTTGCTAGCATAATTTGGTTCTAAAATCAGCTAGGATTGCATAGGGAATTTCCATAACCTATAGTTGATCTGCAAATATAGGTTAATGTACTAGGATGGCTTCTCTTATGAACCTTATGAAAATATATCCTCAGATTCCCTCAAAGGTCAGTGACCAGAAATCCTCATTGTTTCTATGGCAACACAGCAAGATATGGTGCCTTGGAAATGTGCTGCATTTTAATTAGGTTCCTCTAGGGCTTCCTAACTGCCTTTTGCAGGTAAACTAAATACCAGGTTGCCTTTTATCTTGCAACGAGATGAAAGCTAACTCATGTCTGTAAATGTCAAAGCTAAGCTGTATTCTAGTAAAGCTGATTCTAAACAAATATAGTAGCAAGTCATGTTTTTGTATCTTAGAAAAGAATACAATACCCTTCACCTGGAACAGTCAGGAATGCTGCTTAGTGAGGTAGGTTACAGTAATAGAGAATACCCTGGACTCTAAAACTCTGGAACTTCAACTCCCAGTTAAGTCACTTACTATTTGTGTTGTTTTGTGAAAGTTACTTAATATTAGTGTCTCTGTTTCCTTATCTGTAAAAATGCAAATGACAATAACAGCGCCTCATGGCACTGCTGCCTGCATTGAGTGAGTGAATGTAAGTGGGATGCTTAGGACTGCCCGGTTGCTAGTAACTGATCAGTGAGTCAATGACGCTATTTATTAGTAGGAGTACTAGTACAGCACACTGTATTTTTAAAGGTAAATATGAAATAACAATTTGTTTAAATGTTCAGATACATTCACATGTCTTCTTTCAATATAAAATAGCAATCAAGATCAGGATGACAGTGGAGATACTTTGGAGACATAAGGCAGAGGCCATTTACTAATAGCTATGGGAGCATTTTACTAGTTTACTAACCAATATTGCTACACTTATTTGTACTTAGCACAATATCACCTAGCACCAAAAAGAAATTAAGAAAGTGTAACTTATGAGAAGTGAGTATGCACCAACTCCATAAACAGTATGTTTATAGAACACATCTAACTTTAGACTTAGCTATACTCATTAAGTCACATATCCTCTCATCCAAGTGGGATGTATTTAATATTTATCATATATTTGTAAATTCACTGAGTATTGTTCTGCTAACTAGACAAAAGAAAAAAAAGGACAAGCACACATAAGTAAAACTCACTGATCTAAAACAGAGTATTATCAACTACAAAAGAAAAAAATAGCTGCTTGAATCTCCACTGATTTCTCAAATCTCATTTATTTCCCATTATCTTCCCTCATAA